CTTTGTTTTTTCCTTAACGACTTGCTTCCTTCTTATCTACCTCCCTTAAGGGATTTCAGATAAGTTTCCTGGCTTTTGTCCTCTCTGCTTACGTGCCTGCTTCATCTTTAGGTTATGGCAGCTTCAGCTTAGTCTCACACCAGGAGGTGACTGGGACATGAGTGTCTCTCTGTCCAGGAATGAACACAATTGGCACACAGGATGGATTTGTGGAAAGGCCCTCCTGGCCATGGCTATCACCTGTTCTTTGAGCAGGAATCAGGAGTCCAAGAAGACCCTGTACTTTGATAGCAGTTCGGCATGGGGAAGTGCAACCACATCCAGAACTAAAGATGGAAGCTCCTGATACTCAGGGGGCCTCAACACCCCTAGTGACCTGGTCTTGCTAGGGCTGAGCCAAAGCTTGTTCTTCCCTGTTCAGACCTCTCACAGCCTGCAGGCACAGAAAGAACCTTGGTGACTTCATTTGATTGTCAAGAAGCTGAGACATATAGCTGAATATCATCTGCATACGGATGATACATGGCCCCAGATTGATGGATGACCTTACTCAACAGCCTCGTGTAGGTGTTAAATAGGAGTGGAGAGATACGAGGGACCACAGAAAGTAGGGTCTGGGGCTAGACCTGTTTCCACCTAGCAATACCATCTGGAATCACTCCTGAAGGAAGGAGAAGCACTGCAACACCTTGCCTCCCATTCTTAACTCCACATACAGTCCAGAAGGATTCAGTGATTGATAGTACTGAAAGCCACTGAGAGATCAAGGAGGGCCAGGATGGATATATCACCCCATCCTGATCCTGCCTAAAATCATCTACAAGTGTGATCAGTGCTGTCTCAGTACTACATCCTGCTCTGAAACCTGACTGAAAACGGTGCAGGTAATCAATTTCTTCCATGGTGCTCTGAAGCTGCAAACTAACCACATTCTCAACAAGCTTCCCTAAAATGGGAAGGTTGGAGACTAGACAAAAATTGTCCAGTACTGTTGGATCCAGCAGTGGTTTCTAGAGGAGGAATAGACAACTGCTTCTTTAAGAGCTTGCGGAATCACTCCCTTCCTCAAGGATGCATCCATCACTGCCTGGATCCAAGCATGCATCTTATCCCAGAAGGCCTTGATCAGCCGCTGGTCTAATATACAGGTGGTCACGCTCACAGCGCTGAGGACCATGTTTACTTCCTCAAGACATACAGATTCAAATTCTTTCCAGATAACTAAGCCAGAACATGTCTCAATCGACTCCAAAGGGCATGCACAGCCAGAGTGCAACAATTTTATCAGACAGATGCCTAGAATATTCTTCACAGCAGCCCTACAGATGTTCCCCTGACTCTGTTTAGAGACTGGGATTCCTAAACAGGGCTCATGGCTGGCTATCTGAGGAGGTGATAGAGCAGAAAAATACATTTTGCTGCCCTCGTTGCCATGCGGAAAATCTCAATAAAAGATTTTGACCCATGTTCAGTGGGATATGGTCTTTGTCCTCCAGTAGCGCTCTAGGGTTCTCTTCTGTTGCTTCATTCCCAGAGTCCCTCAGAGAGCTAAGGGGCTCCCTGGGATCCACATCCAGAGAGAGGTCTGCAGTTGTGCAATCCGGACAAAGACCATCATTGCATTCCCATTCCAGGCAGTGGCAAAGATCTGAGACAAACTGCATGGAAGCTTAAAATAAGCCGAGTTCCGCTTGATGCTCAGCACAGACAAGTTGAATAGGTCCTTCTTCCTTCAGTCTAAAAGAGAGTGATCTGACCTCGACAAATAGTGATATTCCCCAACTCCCGCTCACTTTGCTGCCAAGACAAACGGATCTAATGTGTGACCTCCACTGCAAGTTGGGTCCTCAGTAATCTGTATCAAGTCCATGGTTGCCATGGTGGCCGTGAACTTCCAATCTGCCTTAGACTTTGTGCCCAAGGAAGGCAAATTGAAGTCACCTCAAACCATGAGCCTGAGGAACTTCTTTGTTAACCCAGCTGCAGTGTTGAGCAGCTTGAATAGGGAAGAGGCCATGCAGCAGGGAGG